CTGCTGTCCAGTCAACTCCAACTCATGGTGACCTACGTACAACAGAATGAAACGTTGCTTGGACCTGTGTCATCTTTATGATCACCGGCATGTTCAAGTTCATCGCAGCAGCTATGGTCCCAATCCATCTCACCGAGGGTCTCTCTTACCCTCATTCACCCTCTACTTCACCAAACACACTGTCCTTCTCCAGCAATTGATCCCTCCTGATGACATGTCCAAAGCAAGCAAGTCAGACAGTGTTCTGTTGTGATCCATAAGGGTTTTCATTAGCTAATTTTCAGAAGTAGATCACCAGATCTTTCTTCCTAGTCTATCTTAGTCTGGAATTTCTGCTGAAACCTGTCCACCATGGGTGACCCTGCTGGTATTTGAAATACTTCCAGCATCACAGCAACACGCAAGCCACCACAGTATGACAAACTGACAGACGGGTAGTGGTGTCTGAAAACACAACCACATAAAAGAAAAGAGAAAGGAAGAGCACACAATCTGATGACATCACTTAACTCCTGGGTGCAGCCATGCCTGAAACACATGTCCTTGCCCTTTCCAGGTATGTTATTCTAATAAATCACCCTCCTTCCCTTTTTTTTTTTTTAAAAAAAAAAAAACTTGAGCTATTCCTACTGGTTTTTGTCGTTTTTAACCAAAAGATTCACAATTAATATATTAGCTTAAGAATTCTCATTGATTAAAAATAAAGGAACATACAATTACTCCAGGAAACACATTTTTCCTTGTAATTTTTTGTCAACAATAGAGAAACCTTGCAAGGATTCTGAGTCCTGGTACACAATCACTTTAAATGCACACATAACTGTATAATCACTTTAGGGTACAGATCCAGCAGGTCAGCAAGAATCGTACAAATCTGGACACAGGTCACAGGCTCATGCCGCGAGGCGCAGGCCACGACCACGGGAGTCCAATCGCACGGTCGGCGGCCGCCAGGGCCAGTGCCAGTTCTGAGCTAGCGAGCGGGGAGCGTGGATGGGGTGAGCCACCTCAGCGACGTTTGACACCGAACGCACCGCACATGCGGGGGCTTCCGGGCCCTCACCCCCTGTTGGACAGGAGGAGTTAGGGCACCGCCGTTTCTGGACTTGCATCTTAGGGTGGTTGAAGGACGGAGTTCCAGCCTCAGAGAACAAATGATAGATTTGCTCACCCATCATTTATACTGTCTTAGCTCAGTTTCTATGAGAGAAGGGCTTAGTGCAGGTAAGTATTTTGGAAAGCAATCTTAGAGAAAGAATGTAAAGACTGGGAAGAGTAAACTAAAAGAGAAAGCCAATCCAAGGATGTGTTGAAGAACTGGTTAGTGCTCTGGGCACCTGGGGCTCGATCCCATTGAGGATACTGTGAAGAACCATGTAGAACATACTGCAGAATTGTCCACCTGCACATAAGAAATACTTGTCCACTGGCTCCTGTCCCCCATTGCTCAAGGATTGCCCCAAAAGTTTGAACTCCTTCATAGTCCCTGGTTTGCATACGTGCCCCAAGGGCCCCATGGGGTGGTGAGAGAGAAGCCCCAAGAGAAAGTAAGAGATACGTGGTGCAGCTGAAATACTATCAGGCTACACAGGCACACAGCTGCTGGCCACAGTAACAGACAAAGCAATGAGGTGAGCGATAAAAGATATGTCCAACACATAAAGGAATGCATAGGAAGCACACCCACGCAGCAAAGCACAAACCAGCTGGGGCTGGAGTGCTCCCTTCTGCTACTCAAATTGAGATGAACCCTGTTCCTGTTCAAGTCCATGTTCCTGGACCAGTCAGCCTGTGCTGGGGAGCCAGCTTTGTTTCCCTCCAAGAAAAATGAGGCATCATTGTTCTGATAATTCTAAAAGAAACTTAGCACACCGGATCATTCCCCCAGGACCCTCCACAATAATGGCAGTGTCCGCAACAGCAGCTTTTGTAGAGGATGCAGGGGGCTCTTAATGTGGCCGCTCCTTCTACCAAAAACAAGCAAGCAAACAAAAAACCACTAGTTGCTGTGCAATCAGTTCCAACTCACGGCAACCCCATGTGTTGTAGAGTAGAACTGCGCTCCGAAGCAGATTGCCAGGCACCTCTTCTGAGATGCCTCTGGGTAGGTTCAAACTGCCAACCTTTTGGTTATTAGTCTAACATTTAACTATTTGCACCACCCAGGACTCCCCATGAAAGCTTATACTGACCCCCCATGAAAGCTGAAGGCATTTCAGTAAAACAAATCCTGATACTGTCCTTTCCTAGAAATGGGAGTAGAAATGATTGCTACTTAGCCAATGATGTTAAAAAAAAATAAGAACAATGAAGACAACAACATAGAGGCTGGTTCTCAGGACTGTAAAGAGCCAAAGGTCCTACTGGGACTTGGTTTGGCAAAGTAGAAAGAGCACAGGATTTTGAACCAAACCAATCACACTTTGAATCCTGACTCTGCTCCTTTTTATCTATAGGACCTTGAGAATGTTATTCAGACTGAGACTCAGTTTCCTCATTTGTAAAACAGTGATAATAATGGTCACCTCCCAGGGTTGTTGTGGAGTTAGAAATCATGCATGTCAATTACCCAGCATACCGTCTGGGGTGTAGAAGGTATCCAGTAAAAAACATGGAGAAAGAATGAACGAATGAAAGCAGGAAGAAAGTGAAGAAACCAACCAATCCTAAACCAAACAGTGAGATCTACAGCACGGAAACACTCATTTCGCTGGCATTGTCTTTAAAGGTACAAGGAAAGAGAGAGCTTTTCCAAGCAGGAGTGTGAGCACCTGAGAATGGTCTTCACACACAGCTCTAAGGTTGTATCATACAGCTTTCATTTGGGCTCTGAACCAGAGCACCCCTGGAGACGGGGTGGGCAGCCCTTCCTTTGCGTACTTAGGGTGGGAAGGCCAGCCTTGGCCAGCTCGGCTGCACAGCAGCCTCAGATCAGGATTCCAGCCCCAGACCCTCCCCTAACAGTCTTCACAAGGTCACTCTGCTTTGGGGACACCAGTGAAGATGGCTCCTTCCCAGGAAGAGGGAGGAGGAGCATCCCTGGAGATGGAGGGGCTCCTGACTCCCACCGTGGGTCCTGTTCACCTTGTCCTGGACTGAGGCCTGCCCAGGTTGCTGTGTGCTCCAGTCCCCCATGTCCTAGGTCTGGGGAGGACAGTCTGAACACACAGAATTAAATCCATTCTCCTTGAAGCCTGGAAATGATCACTCCTTTTATCTTTTAGGCATATTCTCTCTGGTGTGTACTGTTCCTGTGGCTGGTTTCCTTGGCAATAAGGAGTGAGGCATGAAGGAGCTTTCGAAAAGCAGGTACAGGTTGTTTATTTCCTTTGCACATCCTCAGGGGGCCGAGGGCTGTGGTTAGGAACAGTCACGACTCCTCCATTCTGCAAATTACTCACAACAGAGGCTTCTGGTTTGTCCCAGTTGTGTTTAATGGAGGAGGGGGGTTAAGGGTGGGAGGTGGCCCAGGTGGAACACAGATGTCAAGCCACGTGAAGATTGCCCAGGAACAAAAGCTCAAAAGAGACAAGGACCTTCCTCCAGAGTCAACAGAGAGAGAAAGCCTTCCCCTAGAGCTGGCATCCTGAAATCGGGTTCTAGCCTCCTAAACTGTGAGAAACTGTATTTCTGTTTGTTAAAGCCACCTGCTTGAGGTATTTCTGTTATAGAAGCACTAGATAACTAAGACAGCTGGGTATTTTTTTGTATTTATTTATTTTATTATTGTATGCTTGTGTATATACACACACACACATTTTAAAAATTTTGTTGTTGAGAATAGACACAGCAAAACATATACCAATTCAACCGTTTCTACATGTACAGTTCAGTGACATTGATTACATTCTTCAAGTTGTGCATCCATTCTCACTCTCCTTTTCTAAGTTGTTCCTCCCCTATTAACATAAACTTATTGCCCCCTGAAGTTCCTATCTTTAAGTTGTCTTTTGAGTTGCTGTTGTCACTTTGATCCAGTATATATAGTTCTTAAAAGAGCATAATGCTCAAGGCAGACATTTTTTTTTAGTTAAGCTAGATTCTTGTTTAGTTTTAAGAAGACTTCAGGGGATATTTTTGGTTTAAGTTTTAAAGATTATCTCAGGGAGATAGTTTCAGGGGTTCATCCAACCTCCATCTCCAAAAAGTCTGGAGTCCATGAGAATTTGAAATTCTGTTCTGCATTTTCCCTCTTTTGATCAGGATTCTTCCACAGAGTCTTTCATCAAAATGTTCAGTAATGGTAGCCAGGCACCATCCAGTTCTTCTGGTCTCATAGCTAAGGAGGCAGTTGTTCATGGAGGCAATTAGCCACATATTTTATATCCTCTTATTCCTGACTCTCCTTCTTCCTCTGTTGCTCTGGGTGAATACAGACTAATCGCTATGCCTTGGATGGCTGCTTGCAAGCTTTTAAGACTTCAGACACTATGCAGCAAACCAGAAGGTAGAACAGAAGCACTAAACACATTATTAGGCCAGTTAACTGGGATGTCCCATGAAACCATGACCCTCAACCTTTAACCAAAGAACAAAATACCATGAGGTTTTTGGTTGTACATAAGCAGTCTCAGCAGCTACTTTTTGTGTGTGTGTCTTTGTTGTAAATATATCTATCATACAACTTTTCCAATTCAACTTTTTACAGGTGTACAATTTATTGACAGCTATTACAATAATGGGCTGTGCAACACTACCCTTGTTCAATCCATTTTTTCCATCACCATCAAACCCCCCCCTTTTCTCCCTCCCTCCCATTCCCGGTAATCACTAATAAACTTCGGTCTCTATATATTTGCCTTTTCTTGTCTTTTTATGTAAGTGAGGTCATACAGTATTTGTCCTTTTGTGATTG